AGTGGGTTCCTCATTGTATCATTTTCTTATCTTTCCAGTTTGCCAACCATCTGTTCATTTTGATTGTCGGCTTGTCGTACTCAGCCCTTGCGCCTATCATCACTCCATTCGTTGCTATGTACTTTGGGTTTGGTTACGTCGTGTGGATGCATCAGACACTCAGTATTTACATGCCAGTCTACAGCTGCGGTGGAATGATGTGGCCAAGAGTCTTTAACAGGTGAAGAAAACACAACCCCTTAGTTCAGTCGCGGTATTTGGTATTTTAAATTGAAGGAAACCTGAAAATAATATTTTACTAAGATAAAAAGACCATAAAAGAACAGGGGTGGTTAAGGATGTAGAAGATTAACACGGATTGCAATCTAAGAAGTTGAAAAATTTGGGCTAAACATTTCAAAATACGCAAACTGTGAGGTAACTCCTTTAAACCGAAACTAGCCTATCAACATCTAATTTCTCCTTGAAAAATCAAGTGACGAGAAATCGGAAAAGTCATCAACTACAAGATTGTTTTGATACGCCAGCGAATTCCCAGAGCTAGAAAATGTGCCTGTGGCTATCAGTGATAAGGATTAACATTTTCGCCTTTAGCTTTAAACTAAAAACACGTTATAGAATTAGACCTCATTGTTCCGTATTTTGTGTCTGGATTTCTAGCGAAGCCGCGAATTTTTCTGTAGCGCGATGGAAAGTACACCGTAGAAAGAACTGGAAGCAAAACCAAGAGAAAACTAATGTAGGTCCAAAGACTTTTAGACTTGGGTTTGAACATTACCTTTCCCTTCATAACAAAGAGGTGTGGCTCGGCTCAAATTCAATACCTATATGCAGCTAGCATGCACTAAGGATGTGTTCCTATGGGGTGATCTGTGTCAGGGTCAGTGATCCAAGATTTTTTAGATCATGATAAAGGAAAGGAACCAATGAATCCACTCTGGTCTTGGATTCACCGGCTCCTTTGATGCACCATGATCCAATGGATTTGGATCACTGATCCTGATCTAGATCACCCTAAAGGAACGCACCCTAAAACAAACGTTAACTTAAAGATATGGGAGAAATCCTTGAAACGTGAACTACTCTAAGATGATGGCCGGACTGTTACATTGATCTTTGTCTCGTCTTTGTAGGATGATTATCGCGACTGTCGTGTTTCAGTTGCTGATGTTTGGCGTGGTGGGCTTGAAGCAGTCATACGCAGCCTCCGTACTACTCCTTCCGCTTCCGGTCATCACTGTCCTGTTCTATTTCGTCATCCTGCAGCATTACATCAGACCTTCTGCGAACCTGGCGCTTAGTGCAGCCCATGGCTTGAAGGAACCTGCTCCAAACTTCATACAGGCAAGTTGAGTGTGTGTCGGACATATAGACAGACCAAAAGACGGACATTCCGCCAGACCGACTGACTGACAGACTGACAGACCAACTGACCGATAAATCGACAGATAGACAGCCAACAGACCGACCAACAGACAGACACAGACAAATCGACAGACCTACCAACCGACCGACTGACCGACAGACAGACAGATACACACACACATACACACACACAGACAACTTGGCAGAAAGCCGCTCCAACACAAGGTACATAAACACGTTTACGCAGTAATCCACGGGATGGCTATTGGATAACTAATCTGTCTATTCTATGTTCCTTCTTGATTAGGATTTAGCTAAAAGCTACACAAGGATTCAAGGCGTGCCCTTCCCAGTTCTTGAGCCTTCTACCTCTCAGAAAGGTGACTCCGCTGAATCGCTCAACCAGGGGCCTGGATCTGAACTAGAAACCAGTCTCCCGCTTACCCCTGCAGCCGAGAAGAACACGGAGGCTGTTTAGAGTACAACAGACTACAAACTGACGTCAACAATCCAGGAAAGAAGTAACGAGAAATTGTCAGAACAAAGTCAAGTGTTGTAGCTATCCATCATGGACAAATTGTTTATTGCGCGCTTCTTAACAACTTATTATTCTTTGTCAAGAAAGGTTAATTTGACAGTCTTGGGAGATACTTAGTCTGTAAAGAAAGTATGAGTTTGATTTTGTTGCACTGTTAGTTAAGTTTCATCATGTTCCAATTCTCTAATTTTTTAAAGTATTAAAGGTTAAGTTCAAGTCTTAGTGAGCGCATTGGGTTCAGCTTGAAGAGTAGTTTTGAAATTTGTCGTCATTTTGGATCATTACTCGCCTTAATTTTCCCTCCGTTCTTCTTCATAACAAAGGAGCTGCGACATAGATTGAGTACATGTGACTTCAGACTGCAAGTATGCAATTGGGGTTCGAGAGAAATTTATTGTAGTTAAGTACCCAATCCGGAAGAAATGCCAAGGAGTTGAATAAACAATCTGTAGTGTCTAGACAGTTGATATATCGAGGGTCTCACACCGCCCCCCCCCCTCACCCTCCACTCCTACGACTCAACTTGCACAGAAGCACACAACTTGCAGACCATAAGCACACCCAACCTCTGGCCTGACCTGGCATTTTGTTTTTCTATCACCCTGTATCTTCCGAGGACAAGCTATAGAGCGTTTCCGAGATAGCTATTTTGGAATTCCCAAAGAAAAGGAACCGTTGGAATAACAGAAGACCTCATTTCTGGAAATAGGGAAATCTAACGGTTAAAGGTTGCAATGATAAGACTACCATGATGCAATGTAACAAGTTCTGTAGGCTTCTCATGAATCATAACTTCGCTTAATCGTTTCAATTTAAACGTGGTACACGCTTAAATATTAAAGGTTAAATATTGCTACTGTTGAATCCATTGTTTAAAGCATTTTCAGCCTTTTCAATATGGCGCGTCAACTACATTGAATTGTATTTCCTCTTTCTAGCTATCAGATATCAGTTCATACACACTGCAAGGTTCGAACAATGACTTCAGCAAAAATTTCCTTATATGGCCCATGGGAACTACTTGTAGATAATAATAGTGTGTACATGTAACTGTACGTGTTTCGTAAAACCTCCAAGGCATATAGAGAAAGTGTCTTACTTTTAAGGGCACAAAAAAAAAACGCTTGTAGAATAGAGTATTAACATCGAGTAGGATGGTATTTAGAATTACAGTTAATCTGGAACGGTCGAGTGCTTTGATGGGCAAAGCACGGTCAGATGTAATAAATTTTCTTGTGCCTATGCGGTGTTTCGTTTTCATGCGGCATAAAAACGTCGAGGCGGTTTCCAGAGTGAAATAAGAGCTTACGCGTGAGGTTCCGTCGCTAGTTAAAGTAAGGCTAGCGCTTAAAGGAGAGCAAACTGGGCATGACTCAAGCTTTATTTGACCCCTAAAAGATACCATTGTAAAAACAGTTTTATTCCTGTCAAACGTGCAACGCCTAGTGGTATCTTTATAACGATATCTTAATTACTTTCGGAACCTTCCGGTATTCATCCGAAGCAAGAAAGTGGTTTAATATTTGTCAAGAACAGCTGACGGCTCAATCAAACTGTCTCAGGACGAGTCTAATACCACTTTTCAATGCCTGTGGTCGAAACGGAATTGAACGGACAAGAAGAACATGGACCTATCCTTTGATAGGAATGCAGGGTTATTCGCCTTAAATTGAAAAAACGTTGGCTCAGTTTTGAAAGACGGAAGAAAATAAAGGATAGCCTATAGCACCAAGAAAGAACTTCCCTACCGCTCACAGCTGTTACTTACCCCTTTGATGACCAGGAAAATTGTCACAAAAACATGCACAGAAAATACACATATCTTTTTAAGGCTCGGTACTCTTGGAACTTGATAACGTTTTTAAAACGCTGCTATACTTCCTGTGTTTTCTTGGTTACTGTGTAGATACTGATCAATTTATTTATTAGGTTTCCTTTTATTTTCCGGGTATTGAGTTCAGTTTTCTACTCTGTAGGATATAGACCCTTTTCATAAATGGCTGCCAATTATAAATTCTTTTGTAAGTATTAAAATTAGCCTGACTAACCTCGTTTTTGAGTTGCTAATTCAAAAGAATTTTTACTCCCAAACGAGTTTAGTGAGGTTAATTTAAATGCATATAAAAGAATTTTAAATTGGCAGCCATTTATGAAAAGGGTCTATGGAGGAACCTTAACCATACTTTGCAATTCCCCCAAAAGTTGTTCTAAGTTCATGCGAGAAACCATATTTATTATTATTTTCTCGAGTAAGGAAGATGATATTCATCTTATTAAGCCATGTCGATCATGTGGTAAGGAATGATTTATAGGGATAATTGACTCCACAATAGACCAGTTTCGATATATTAAAATTCAGTTTTAAACAATAGACCTCAGCACGAGGCTCTGGGGAATAACTACAGAGTTTGTGGGGTTTATTCCCCAGAGCCCCGTGCTGAGTTCTATTGTGTTAGGCTGAATTTTAATATATCGAAATTGGTTTATTAGCAATCGACTGCATCAGTCGCTTAGCTGGCTTAACTGGCAGTAACAGGCTTCATCAACTGGAAGCAGAACATTCTCGTCCCAAGAGGCCGCGCTCCTTTTGGTCAGCACCAAGAATCGCGACCTCTGGGCTGGTTCAACAGCGGAACTCCGCGATTCACTTCATTTCCGTCAAATCTGACAAATCTGATTGGCTTAGAATACGAAACAAAAAATCTGCGCATACTCAGAAAATCGGGTCGGGCCAGAGGTCGCGATTCTTGGTGCTGACCAAAAGGAGCGCGGCCTCTGAGGACGAGTGTGGAGCAGAATATATAGATGAATAAAAACCGGGCTGACGCGGTCAGTCACTGTTGTAAGCCGTTAACACTGAGGCTGCGGAATAAAATGAACTGATATCAGTTGCCGGACTTTCGATTTTTCAAGATTCGCTGTACGAAGAAACCTTTGCGGTGGGCATCAATTTCAAAAGCTAAAAAAGGTCGGTGAAAGAGCATTTATTATCTACCGTTTTTTCAATTTTTAAGAACTTTAATTTTTGTGGGCTGAGGATGAGCGATCTAAATTTGTAAGAATTGTCTTGAATAGGCCACGTTCGATATATGTATATTGTAGATTTTTTTAGTTTCTTTTGTTTCTCAATTCCCAAATATAGAAGTTTGTCCTGAAAGCCTCGGAGCCATGTTAGAATATTGATATATCAAGACTGTCAAATTATTTCGTCAATTTTGAAAACGAGGCGGTATAGTATCAATATTGTCTTAAATCTCTCCAAAACTAAGGTTAACAGTTCACGTACGACTCAAAGTCGCTGTGTAAGTAAGAAGAATTTGAGCAAGACATTTCTCAGTCATCCTATTTACGGTACAATTAACAGTTATTTTCTCTCGTGATCTCTCATTTGCTATTGGATGTCTGGGTCATTTCTGACATATGTTTTGGCTATCGTCGTATTTTATTCCGCTTTTTGTCTTTACCAATATGCGGAAATATTACAGAAAGATATTCCCTACTTCCAGGGCCCCCAGAGTTTTTCGACAGGCGGAAACCGTGCGGAAGGTCGTAGCTCTTTTATCTTGATTTTGTGTTAATGATATCTCTGATCTAAAAACCTGGGAAACACAGCCCGCAATGGAAACAAGATTTTCTTTTAAAATTGCATAAACTTTTTAAAGTTTGCTTCACGGTGAAGAAATATTGTAAGCAATAACGAAAGGCAAAATTAAAGAAAGGCAATCTATTATTGGGCACAATTAGAATTATGATGTGAAATTACTTTGTACAATATCAGTTTGATACCTTGACGTCCATGCACATGGTAGTTTCGAACGTTTTGCCGGAACAGAGGTCGAAAGCGGCATTAAAGTAAGCATATGAAGCAATTATTATGTTCTGAAATATCTTGGTTTGTTCATTGAGCACGAAAATTACGGATCAAAATCAAGAATACCGCGACTACGTACTTGAGCAATGTAAAATGACTTGGAGAAACATTTGACTAATCAAATCAAATCGCATAAATATCCAAAAAGTACCAATGAACAACGACTGATTTAGGATCACCAGTAAAATTTCAATTTAACAATTCTGGAAAAGCTCGGGGAGGGAGTTGGCATCTGCTACCCTTCGCCGTTGTGGGCCCGGCCCGAGGGTTAAGTTCCGGGTTAAAATTTTCCCTGTTGGGAAATCTGCTTATGGTTAAACTTCAACTATTTTCAGGAAGATAGTCAGGACTTATTACCATGACGACAGGTAAGGAACTTGTTGACCCAACCCTTAATGAGTCATCAAATGGTTATCTGAGGTTTGGAGTTGCAAAGAGGCACAAGAGAAAAGTTCCTTGGGTAAGAATTATGGCAGTGTTCTTCAGTTTGTTGCTGTGTTGGCAATTGGCAGGAACCTGTCTGTACTTCGTTCGTTGCCTTGAATGTTTCGGGGAAAAAACTTCTACATTTCTCTGCGAAAGAAATGCAGCTTTCCCACATTCAGAAGAATTTGAACTTACTTGGTTGGTTTCTCAATCCATACTGGTTGTTATCATAATTGTGGCACTGCAGAAGGTTCCAGCATTCCTTGGCTACAGGGCAATATTTCATCAGCTGAAACTTCGTCCCTCATTTTGGACCCTGGTACTTCTTCTAGCCATCGCCCTTGCCCGATACGGAATGGTGTTAGTAATGGCGCCCAAATCGTTACTTCCACTGTCGATAATCATTGGTTTTGCATTGTGTTACATTTTAACAGTTGTACTTGCATGTGTGTTAAACTGTACTCAACTAAATTTGTTGAAACGCCAGTATCCCAAATATGTTTTTGTTTTATCTAAGCTGACCCTTTTGGTATTATTTTTAGTTCATGTTGCAAATTTTGTCATCTCTCTCATAGCATTTTCTTTGAGTGTCCACGATGTTCATGACGCGCTGATACCAGCAAACTCGTCGGAATTTAAAGTTGTGCATACTCTCTTAAGCGATTTTGGCGTCAGCAGCTTCAGGTTCAAGATCATGAGTTTCTTTTGGTGTAAAATGATTGTCGACCATAAGAGTATTCTCTGAGTGTCTACATCAGAAAGCATATTCTATACTGTAAGGCCCTTAAATTGTGCTTTGTTCTAATTTTTGAACACTTTGAAATTAGCCCAGATGAACCAATCAGATTTCGCCACAGTGTACTTCCCAAAATGGCAAGCGCGGAAAAAACGTGGAAGCCAACTCTGATTGGTTGTAAAACTGTGGCTCTGATTAGTCGGAAACGAATGTTTCTAGATTTTGTAAAAAAAAAAAAAAAACCCTCATAATTGTAGTTTATAACTTTGAGATTGTGGTACAAGACGACGGCTTTCTTTGTAAAAAAAAGTTATTGTGAAATAATGAGTGCATCTGATACGATGTATTGATTATAGTGAGTTGGTTTGTTGCTAAGTTATCTTCGTGGTTATGAAAACACTGAAGAGGAATTGCACCTAAAGTAAGATTACTTGTCCAACTGTTGCAAACAAAAAAACTAGGAATGTTCAGCCTTACACGGAAAATTGGACATTCTGGCTAAAAAGAGTGTTTATTCTGTTCTAGCTCTGGTTTAGCGCAATACACCAACTTTATCAACAGATATAACTGTGCACTTACAGTAATTAGTGGAAATATGTTTAAATAAATCTTCTTGAGTTGATAAATTTAACGAATCAGTGTACGCACAAATCGAGGAGGACTAATCTATATCAACCTTAATTTGTATCTTACAGGCCCCATTGCCAATTAATTTTCCTATAATAGTACTGCTTTATTTTCCTTAGAAAATGGATTTACTTTGTAAATACAAGTTCATTTTATTTTTTGGTAGGTTTTTTTTACAACATTTCACCAATAATATATAACAACAATTCCATGCCTAACTTGCAACATGTTGTATATACAATAACTACTACAATATATTACTAGCTTACAATAAACTCACGATTCATACTTAAAATAAACTACCAACGATTGTAAGTAACTAAAATTTTATGAGAAATTTACAATTAAAACTCTTTTCATCCTGTATTTGTCATTGTTTCGACTCGAACAAAAGGAACCATAACCATTTTCTAGTATTATACTAAAAAAACTCACAAACGTACGCTAGCGGAATTAACTACCGGAACTACCGGATTGAATTCATAATCTAATTGACTATCAGTTCTAAAAATGCTAAACCATAAGCTCAGAAGATCGGTTTAAGAGCCAAAGTCTCAATTTAGCCTTGTAGATCCAAGTATCTGATTCAGACTCTTGTGAAGCCATTTGAGTACAATTTAGGTCCAAACAGGGAAGTAAATTTATTAACCAAAAGAGTCATATCAAAGAGTTATTTCAGCCCTAACTGGGGCTGACTTCAACACGTAGATCCATCTCAGCCAGTAAAAATTAGACTATGTTGGCCCTGATTTAGATAGCTAAATTAGATTCCATAGTACTGTGTAGGCTATGTTCACACTTGTTGCCTGAGCACGGTGCTCGAATACGATTTTCGCTAGCCCTAATGTGAACACACCGCATTTTTCCAAGCGCATTCACCAGAATCCGGGCATAGTGGCCGTGCCCGGGTACAAGGTCTTCACTTTGTTCTCGGGTACTAAATGGTACTTGGGTACCTGGGGTACCATTGTCAGAACCCAACCCTATTTTATATCGGTGCCCAGGCACCATTTGGGCAGCAAATACTTACCGAAACAACTCCAATTTCGGGGCTATCTTTTGATAGATTGATAACGATGCCTTACTTTCGAAACTCGTTACCGTTTGAGCAAGAAATCCGTTGCTGCGCAGGGAAACTGTTTGAGAAGTAGTCCAATATTACTTTCGAATTGGTGTTACCGAAACGGGATTGAACAAAGAACAAGAACTTGCACATTTCCTTTGATAAGAACGTAAAGTTATTCACCTTAAAACGGAAAGAATGTCGACCCAGTCTTTGAAAGGCGGAAGAAAATCACGGAAAGCCTACCACTAGGAAATTCCCAAAAACTTCCCTATCGTTCTCGACCAAAACTCCTTGATGACCCAGGAAATGATCGTCAAAACATGCACAGGTAATACATGTCTATCTTCCTCTTTTCAGCTCGTTCTTCATTTGCCGAAGATGAACTCCGAAGTCTTTACAGGCTGTAGCTGTTTGACCCTTTTCTTGAACAAGCCTGTTCCTACAGGGCAATTAGATGTGGGTCATGTGCTTCGCATGTATCAAGACGGCTTCTTATCTTTATTCTTTTTATCCTGAAAAGTGCTAAAAAAAATTACCCGACCATGGCAGGGAGTTTATCCATTTTAGTAACGCAGAAGCAGCAGGTTTGATACCACGAGGCTACAAAACAGATATCCGCATATTTCATATATTTTTTTACTAATAGATTTGTTGACCTCTTGGGGTGCTCCGCATTTCCTTAGACGTAGTAACGTTGAATGCTATTGCCGCTTTTCATGTGACGTCATCATTTTCCAAAATAAGAAATTACCAATCCTTCTGAAGTTTTAGTTTCATCAGATGTAAGACCCTCTATTAACTTGAAGTTTCGCAGCGTTTAAGCTCGACAGGGTTCTCATTATGTAATAGAGCAAGGTTTGAATTCCAAGTTTATGCGATGTGTGAGATTAAAATGGCCGCTCTCGAGTATTCAAAAAGATGAATTATTGCTCAAGGTTTTGCTAACTAAACAGTTGTTGCTCTATAAGAAGTGTTAATTTTAATATGTCGGAACTCTAGAGTAATACCTTTTCGTTTCAATGGCAAAACTCGATGACAAATGTTACTGTTACTTTACGGCCGCCATGTTTGTGTCCCTCCGAGGGGCACAAACATGGCGCCTCCGTGCAAAGCTCTATCATCTTTCATATCCCAGCTTCTTGACTTAATTTATTGAATGGTTCTGATTTTTATTTTTGATGGCGTGACACTGCAAACCATCCATACAATCCTAATCAATTCTATTTCTGACTAATCTGAGGAAAATGGTAAAAAGACACCATTTACGTACACAGCTGCGAGAAGCAAGTCTCGGCAAGCCAAAGTGCAGGATCACCGGCGTTAGAGCCTAGCTGGATCCGCCCTTGAGTGCTCGTATTTTTCCTCGCCTCGGGCTCGGAAAAATACTGCGCAATTATCCGCGCTAATTTTATGTTAAACTATCGAATAAGGTGTTTCTTTTTCAAAATATTAATAAAAAATATTTTCATGACAACAGTGAATTCCGGTATTGGCGCAATTTTGGGCTCATGACAAGTAGTAAAGATCAATGACATTGGTGACAAAATTATCTATTCTTCCTGTGTTTTCTTGGTTACGTACCGCACATAGATGTGCAGATACTGATCAACTGATGTACACATATATGACGAACGTACGCATATTTACCATCCATTTGTTTTCGGTATTCAGTCCAACTTTTTAATATCTTGGATATGTAGATATTTCTTTGAAGCTTAACCGTACTTTAAAATTTACACTAAAGTGCTAAGTTCATGCGAACAAGCATATCTGAGCAATGAAGTAAAATGGATGACTCGGTCACGTGGTAAGGAATCATTGATGGGATAATCGACTCCGAATTAATAAACGATTACCTCAGTGACATCAATCTCTCAATTAGCAACCGACAGCAATTGGCTTCATCAGTTGGAAGCAGACTACCGCACCGACGCGGTCAGTCACTGTTGATAAGCCAACATGAACTGATATCAGCCGCGCGACCTTCGAGTTTTTCAAGATCCATTCGCTGTACGAAGAAACCGTTGCAGTAAGCATCAATTTCAAGGTCAGTGAAATAGCATTAACAATTTACCGTATTTTCCGGCAATTTATAAGAACTTTAATTTGTGTGGGCTGAGGATGAGCTCAATACTAAATCTTTGAGACTGATTGACTAAAAATGGCTCTTATTTTGTTAATTTTGAGAGCAAGGTGTCGTGAATCTCTTCAAAACTATAAGTTCAATTGTTCATGTACAACTCGAAGTCACTGTGCAAGTAGGATTTGAGCAGACGACTTTATTCATGTAGTTCACATTTCTTTAGCATTTTCAGTGATCCTATTTGCGGTACAATAAACAATAATTTTCTCTCGTGATCTCCCATTTGCTATCAGACGACCGAACCTTTGAAGATTCTTCTGACTTATCTTTTGGCTATCGTCGCTTTTATACCGCTGTTTTGTCTTTGAACAGCAATTTGGTGGTTACGCTTCGGCTTAGGTCGTTAATTACTTCCAGGGGACCCGAATTTTCGACAGACGGAAACTATTTTCGGGAAGTTGTAGCTTTTGGATCTTCTCGGTATATTTTGTGTTACTGCTATCACTGATTTAAGACCCGCGAAACACATCGATTAACCAGCAGGGGAAACAAGATTGTCTTTTCAAACTTCATCGATTTTTTGGTAAATTGCTTTACGGTGAAATAATATTATAAGTATTGTAGCCTTCAGCTAGCTCTACACAAGATAAGATAATGTTTTTTTTGTGTGGGTCGTGACGTCATTCAATCCGCCATCTATGATTTCATCGTCTTCTAAGATGGAGTCCGAAAAAACGTAGATTGGTGAAAAATTAATTCAAATTGACAGTAGAACGATAAAAGGTACCCGAAGAAGTTGATATAGGCAAAAAAAGGCAACATTATATCAGGCACGATTAGAATTACGATGTGAAATTACTTTGTACAATATCAGTTTTATTTTTCGAAAACCACAAAGCAATATATGTAGTTTCGAAAGTTTCGCGAGAAGAGTTTCGAAAGCGACATGAAAGGAAACTGTCTTGTAATATCGGAAGCAGTTATTACGACCCTAAATATCTTGGTTTGTATATATAGCACGCAAATTGCGATCCAAAATTAAGAACTGATATCGCAACTACTTGAGCAATACAAATGACTTAAAGAAACAGTTGACTAATCAAATCAAATCGCATAAAAAAATATCCAAACAGGACCGATGAACAGCGACTGTTTTAGGATCATAAATAATATATAGATTTAGGCCAGCCTAAAAGCGTAGCTCCTGGGCCGGGTTCATCAGAGCCCGATTAAGCTAACCTAGGAAAAGATAGAATTTTGATTTGAGTTTTGTAACTTTGCGCTGAGGTTTTCTGTATATTGTTTGGCCTTCTGTTTTGAGTCGTAATAATCACCATATACACAAAAGAAAGCAGCAAAAAACATTTGTATAGAAGAAAAAGTTATAATTCGATTAACTTTTAATCCTGGGTTAGCGTTAACCGGCTTCCGAACAATCCTGTCACGATGAACTTCAAAAACCGTGACCTCGACGAGCTTTAAACTTGAGCCCGCGTTATGGTCACGTAATACTGGTCAGCGGATACCTTGTTTTGACAGATGTCAATTGATCATAACATGGATGTCCAATATCGAAGAAGTACACGGTAAACAAAGACTGCATGTCTCTGTCAACCTATTATTTGGAGTATGGCCGCCATGTTACGCGACTCCGTCGTCGCCTTCGCCGTCGTGCGTACGCGCCCACGAGCAATACCGCTACCCATGATAACCATCAGAAAATGAACTCTTGGGTTTCCTTTTCTTTCCTATATGTATGGGGCTCCGCTTGGCGGCCCTTGGGGCCGCCGGAACTCCGCTAAAATTCCAGTTTCAAAATTAATCATCTTAAAAAATCTCGGGAGAGGGGATTTGGCATGTAGCATATTCCCCCTTGAGTGCCCAAGGGTTAACTTCCAGCTTGCAGTTTATCCACGATGAGAAATCCGCTTACGGTAAATGTTTCCAAAACTATTTTCAGGAAGGAAGCGCACTTATCACCATGACGACATGCGAGGAGCTTGTTCACCCAACCTCTAATGAGTCATCAAATCGTTATCTGAGGTTTGGGTTTGCAAAGAGGCACAAGAGAAAACTTCCCTGGGTCAAAATTATGGCAGTGTTCTTCAGTTTGTTGCTGTGTTGGCAATTGGCAGGAACTTGCTTGTACTTCGTTCGTTGCCTTAAATGTTTCGAGGGAAAAACTTCTACATTTCTCTGCGAAAGAAATGCAGTTTTCCCATACTCAGAAGAATTTGAACTTACTTGGTTGGTTTCTCAATCCATACTGGTTGTTATCATAATTGTGGCACTACAGAAGGTTCCAGCATTCCTTGGCTACAGGGCAATATTTCATCAGCTGAAACTTCGTCCCTCATTTTGGACCCTGGTTCTTCTCCTAGCCATCGCCCTTGCCCGATACGGAATGGTGTTAGTAATGGCGCCTAAATCGTTTCTTCCACTGTCAATAATCATTGGTTTTGCATTGTGCTACATTTTAACCGTTGTACTTGCGTGTGTGTTAAACTGTACTCAGCTGAATTTGTTGAAGCGCCAGTATCCCAAATATGTCTTTGTTTTATCCAAACTGGCGCTTTTGGTGATTTTTCTGGTTAATGTTACAAATTTTATCATCTCTCTCATAGCGGTGTCTATAAGAGTCCACGATGTTCATGACGCGCTGACACCAACAAACTCGTCATATTTTGAAGTCGTAAATGCTTTCTTAATAGATTTTGGCGTCACCAGCTTCAGATTCAAGACCATGAGTCTCTTTTGGAGTAAAATGATTGTCGACCATAAAAGTATTCTCTGAATATCTACATGAGAAAGCTTATGCTTTAAATTGTGCTTTGTTCTAATTTACGAACGGATTTCGAAACTATCCCAGCTGAACCAATCAGATTTTGCCTCAGTGTACTTCCCAAAATGCCAAGCGCGGGAAAAACGTGGAAGACAAGTATGATTAGTTGTAAAACAATGGCTTTGATTGGTCGGAAATAAAATGTGAAGAGTTCAGCAAACTAGAAACACGACTTAACAAATGGCTATTTTCGACAGTCGACAGGAAACAGCTGCAAACAAAAATAAGTTTAAACAATTCAATAAACTCATAATTGCAGTAACAATTGTAGTGCTTATTCTGTTCAGGTTAACCAAACACACTAAATTTATCTAGAGGTATATACATGTGCACTTGTTTCGAACATTATCAGTACCCACGGGGCGGAGTTATACTGTAATTAGTGTAAACAATTTTAAATATTCATGATTAACAAATTTAACCAATTCTAGTGTGCAATCAAAACGAGGAGGTCTAGTCAGATATCAACATTACCTTACAAACTCTTGTCAGTTAATTTTCCTAGAAACATGACGGGACCCACGGGGCTTCTACTGTTAGTACCGCAGAGAAATGGTAGGAAATTTTCCTATAATTAGCATTCCTTACATACTCTCACTAGGGTTCTTCGTCTTGCGGCCAGGGAAGGCGTCATAATCTGTTTCAGTGACATGTCGATGATATTTTAAACAAAAAATAAACCGGAAAGGGCCGATGGAACATGAGACAAGCTTTAAAATGAAGTCACGATATTAATAGGGCTTTAAAAGTAAATAGTGCGTTCTAGTCATTCCCGATGTTTTCAAATGATGGCGGACTCCACCGACGCCAATAACCTGGAACAAAACAAGGTCATTATATATCGGATCACGTCTAAACACACGTGAAAAAAGACTTGGGCAGGAAAAATACGTGAGCGGACAAAACCGGGGAATGCCGATAAATCAAGCAACTCCGCAATGATGAACGAATTACAACATGAACCTTCCTCTGCTTCTCCCCCTGAACCAAG